GTCGAGAGAGAGAGAGAGAGAGAGAGAGAGAGAGAGAGCATGTACGGTAATAGTTACGTTATGTAAACCAAGAATAAACGTAACACAACATTTGTAACTTAATCATATTTTTCCACTACAATATTGAGGCTAAATTAAAAAGTTATTCTTATTGAATTTATATAAAATACTAAAAATCTCCATTATACGCGACAAATGGGATTGTCAACACTTCCCGTTTCTCACACACATTTATTTGTATGCGCGCCCTAGGCTACGTAACAGATCATCAATGGCACTTTTCGTGGCACGACTTGTTACAAGAAATTTTAAAGTAAATACATCTTTGCACTAAAGGAGGAATATTTTCAAAACATTTGTTCAATAAATAAATAATGTCGCGGTTAGGAAAAAAATGACGGACTTGTTTTGAAAGTGACATATTATTATTGCTCCAGCTGAAAACTTTTAAAAATCGGTAGGAACCACCCACTCAGATTTCAAAATTAATATTTATTATGGGATTTTCTAGAATAAACAGCTAACATTGAAAGGTGTTTAAAAAATTATAAATATTGATATAAGTAAATTATGTGCAAAAGCTGAAGAGAGTTGATATTTTAGGAAATATTTGACAATAATTTAAGTTACGCCACGAAATTTTGACCGCAGGAGATCTATTTAGTTTTTCTAACACATTAAATTCGACTGTAAATTTCTTCCTTTCTACAAGTACAATCTAGATCTAGCCTAATGCATTAAAATTTATATGTGTTTAAATTGGGTGTGTTGTATCAAAAAAAATAAAAGGGAGATCGGTAGGCCTATAGTTCTGCAAGATTTTAGAAAAATTATAAAAAGTCTATCTCGGCAGTAGGCAGGCTTTCACTTTGTTGGAGGCGGTCACGACAGAACAGTTTCGGACTTTATTAACATTTGTTTATGTATTTATTTACAGGTATCTATTTACAACCATCTGAGAAGGGGGCGAGAGAGAAAACCCATTAATTATAACAACCAGCTTTTTGACAAGCAATACAATTGCCCGCTGCTCGAGACTGTCATTTTCTGTTTCCGGCGTCAGGGGGAATAAGTTTTGTTTACAAAGATGGCTGCACTGATTCCGTCAAACCTACACAGACAAGAGAGATTGGTAAATGTGTAGTCTAGATTGTCTAAATTAGTGTGAAGATCCGTCGATACCCTGCTCCTATGGCTGTATTACAGAGTCTGTGTTGTTGTGTTGCGAAAGGGTAGATATTATTTTGACTCAGAATGTGCGTACCGCCATGGAAAAGTAGAAACTGAAGAGTCGAGATAAAATTAGTGTGTTCTTCTCTTCCCACTGTGACGCACACTGTGCTGTGGTCAATGACATCACAAGGTTTTCTCTTCGTTCTTTTTCCTTGTATTCTTTGGCCAAGGCTTATATTGGAAAGGGCCTATGCTCTTATTATTTGGCATAATATAGAACCAAACAAGAGCAACAGTCAAGATCTAAAGCCACGGAAATGAAACAAGACGCGATCAAATCAAATCGATTCGGACCGTGTCCCATTGAGTTGAGGGAGGTGTACCACGAAGGGGGTCATGACTCTAGATCTAGATTCTAGGTCTAGAAATCTAGATTTAGATCTGCGGCTATTCGGACTGGAGTACTGGAGTCTGAATTCGACTCCTTATAGCCTTCTGTGGTTATTCGGACTCAAACTCCAATCATGTGCGTGCGCATCAGTAGGTGTATTGGATGTGAGGCAGACTTGAAGCAATCCGACCTTGGTCTTCCTCGGTTTCTATGTCTACGATCTGGCCAAGGAACATTATTAAAACAAATGGACGCCGACCATGGCATGGTGACCCATTGCGAACTGTGCTCTTTTCTTTATGGCAAGGATAATAATAGTAGGGCCGGCAGTGGGCAACGGTATGGGAGGGAATATATATCTCTATATATATGCAAAAAAAAGGAGTGATGTTAGTGGGGCGGACCTGGGAAAGTAAGATGGAGAGAGGAAAAGTAAGAGAAAGAGAGAGAGGAAAAGTAAGAGAGAGAAAGGGGAGGGGGGTTGTCTTATTATTATCAGGACTGTTATGAATTTTATCTTTTGATCCCTTTGTAGTTGTGAAACGCAGTGTAATAGCCTACCAGTAGTTTAAAGTCCGAATAGCAACGGGAGACTATTCCGACTCAAGTATAGACCTCGCTTACGGTACAACCGGTGATCGCACACGTGCACTGGAAGTTGAGTCCGAATAGCCTCCAGCGGCTGTTCAGACTGGAGTCCGAATAGCCACTTCATTAGATTTATTTTAAGCCTAACAATAAAGGAAGTGGCTATCCTGGTGTAAAACAAGACCTGTTTTTCCTCATTTCGGAATACTGTCTATCGGTGTGAATGATCAAATTGATCTAGACAAAAAACAAAGAAAAAATGACGTTGTAGCACAAAAGTAGCTAATTGGTCGCCTACAAAGATGCTAAGTATAGCTATTTTATATTTCGAATTGAGCCGAACTACGCGGGTCACCATTTTGTTTTGCCCGGAAGTTCTCGCAAGATCTACTCCTCTCTCTCTCTCTCTCTCTCTCTCT